TCATTGTGGCCATGGTTTGGAGATTCCGCCATGGTTTTGCGGCAGCTTCAGATGCCGCGAAATACTTAAAACTGCACTTGCAATATTTGTCACCATAAGGGACAGCCCTGTCTTTACAGCCCACCTCCCGCGGTTACGGCAGCAAAATTTTACCTGCCATTGGTTTTCAATTTGCTGCCGCGGTAACGGCAGCTCGACATTGGTTTGTGGCAGCTAAAATGTCAGTCGCCATAGGTTTGGCCGTAGCGGCCATGGTATGGAAATACCGCCATGGTTTTGCGGCAGCTGCAGACGCCACAGAATACTTGAAACTGCACTTGCTGCGTGGGTTCGCAGGTTCGAATCCCATGCAGGGATGGTTATGTGCGAGAGGATTGCTGGACTCCTCGCCGTCGTTGGGTGGTTCACGTAACCGCTGGTCGGTTACGGCTTCCTCCACCACCAAGTCCATACTTCCGAAAACAAACAATACAGTATAACTAATCCCATACCCGACTTGGAATGGTAACCGGACGAGAGGTCGTGGTTCGCCATATGGATAAGCCGTCTTAGCGGCATTCCTCTCCCCCGGGATAAATATGTAAATCCTATCCTATCCTATCCTATCACTTTCCATGGTCGGTCTGTGTTGACCGCCACCTTGCGACCATAGTGTATCATAAATTTTCTTGCACGTGAATGGCTGAATGGCATTTTTCATATTTTGATATTGACATTGAAACACGATATGTATTGAGATTTGAGAAGACGCGTCAAAGCCTTTTTATACAATCCATAATTTGAAAACTACAGATAAATAATCTTAGGTTTTGAGCTGTAATGACGCAATAATATGCATGAATAAATTTGAAATGCGCAAGACTTCTGCGCAAAAAATGTCCTTGGTCGTTAGCAACAGGTTTGAAAAAAATGAAATTGCGCGTTTGTACTCAGTATATCTTTATAGAAAGTACAATTTTAATATTATTAAAGTGGGTATGAATGTCGGTAAGACGTTTTAGTCATTCGGCAAACCACTGCGTTTTGTTAGGATAAGTATCGTGCTACAACGAACTTCTGCATTGTACCTAGTTTATGGTACGACAACAAAAGTCTGTTCCCTAACTTCTGAACTTAAAACCAAGCTACGATTTCTGAATGTTACGAATTATTGAAAGCAAAGGACAATTACCTGTTAGGTTAGAATTGATGACTTGAAGTGGTTGCTTCTAAATTTGCATATGCACATTTGTATTTAAATTTTTTTAATTATGCAATATAGAAATTGTTTTGACTGCAGCATCGAAGGTTTTGCTTCCAATATTTGTCTAGTTTATATTTGCGTGTTTTATGTATGAAAAAGTTAAAAAGGATCTAGGCTATTTATGTTCATATTGCTTTTTCAGATATATGTAGCCTACATTTTTTAGAAATATGTTGGTGTAGTTTACCCTAATTGCAAACAAAATGTCTAAATCTAAAAGAATCCGCGAAATTGATGATGCTGATTTGGATTGTGAGCCGTCAACCTCTTCTAGTGGTGAAGGTCAATCAACATCTCAGATTGCATTACGAGCAGAAGAAGACAGAAATCTAGACTTTGCTCATAATGTTCGAAGTATAGTGAGACAATTAGAAAAACGAGGAACTATGGTCGCCCCAACACTCGTTTTCAAACAAGGTGTGAAAATATGCTAATATTTATTTTCAGTACATTTACTAAAGCTATACAATTTCTTTATTTATCGTATTTACTCAAAATTACGCCTATATCGAGAATAGGCAGACTCCCTTAAAACGGCGATTTTATGAAAAATCGCACATAAGCCGGTTCTACGAATCGTGACACGCCGGACGCCTCAAGAAAAACGTAAAAAGAGAACAAAATTATTGTAACGCAAACATTTCTCACGTTTATCGTTTCTGCATGTTAGCGAGGGCCGTAGGTGGATTATTACCCGTAACTCTTACTTGTTAATTTATGTTAATGAAGTCTATATTGCTTTTCAATGCGTCGTGATTGTGTCGGGAGATTAAAATAGAGTTCCTGAATCAGCATAAAACAATTTCCTTTGATCGCCACAACAACGATTAATTTAGTTCCTTGTCCGTTTCAAGGAAAGAAATAACGCTGTATTAACACATTCTTATAAATCGCTACGAATTTTAACACGCCAGAGGCCTTAAGAAAGGCGCAGAACGAAAATAAAATTGCTGTAACACAAATATTTTTAACATTTATCATTTCTGTTTGTTAGCGACGGCCGTAGATTTTTACTCGTAACTCTTACTTGTAAATTCATGTTAATAAAGTCTATATTGCTTTTCATGTGTCGTGATTTGTATTAATGGAAGGGATTGTTGTCGGGAGTTTAAGAGAGTCTCTGAGTCAGTATAAAACAATTTCCATTGATCGTCCACAACGCGGTTATTTTCGATAAGAGTCCTTATCACCGCCCCTTAACGGATAACATATCGTAAAGGTGATTATAGGTCGCGCACCTTTAATTGCCACGAAAGTTTTCACCAAGAAACAACTGGCCGTAAATCGACACTGTTGCTGTTATGTAAAAGAAGCGCAAGCGAAAACAAACAATCACAGCCTGTACAAGCGTCACGTGTTAAACAACCAATCACAGACTGTACAAGCCATCAGCTGTATGATAAGACAATGCACTTTCACAAGCGAGTGTGTGTGTGCGTGCACGCTTCTTATCGTGAGAACTTGGTATGGTTTGAAGCTTTTGGAATTACCGGCAAGTCAGCATAATATCATCTCGTTGCGTGATCAAATTCTGTACGCGAATGAGCCGATTTTTTGGTGCAATCTGAGTTATGCGAGAATGAGACGGTCCCTTAGTTTGGCAACTTTTTTTTGGGGTTTTAAACTCGGCCTATTCGCGAGCATATACGGTAAATATAATTCATTTATAGAAAATAATTAGAATTCTACGTTTTTGGGCCTAATAGTGGTGTCATATTCGTTTTCAAGCATTTAAAAAATGGATAAAATATTCTGCCAAATATTCAGAACTGGTCAACTTTAGTAACCTTGTAATTCATCCACTAGTAGGATCTATATGGCATAACTGGTAGAAATAAGTTATTCTCAAATTCCAGTGTCACTGCTGCTAATTTCGTTTCGAGGCTGAGTTCAAATTTAGGGTTTTCATATTTTACTTTCACATAAGCATGGCTCAACATCAGTATAATAATAATTGAAACTTTTTTCAATAAATAAGAAATGCCCATGCCAGTATTATTAAATCACAGGTGACACTATAGGAACCAATATTTCTGGAAGTTCTGGTTTTAAGCTTCAACAAAGCAGCAACATATTAGGCAGCACCTCACCAACAAATGAACAGGCAGCCAGGCCTACTGATGCAGAAGAACATGGCACAGCAGGAGAAACACCCTTCCATTTTAAAGGTAGGTTGACTGTTATAATTGTTATCACAAGGTGGTTTTCCTAACTTATGGATAGTCGTGATTTCTTAAGGCCGTTCAAAAAGGATTGACTTTTCAAAGTTGTTGTATCTACAGTAAATTATGAATATTAACAGGAAAATAAGATAATAGAAGACATGGAAATAGAAAGTTCGCGTGTTCGAATCCCATGCAGGAATAGATATGTGCGAGAGGACTGCTGGACTCCTCGCCGTCGTATGGTGGTTCACACGACATGCTTCAGATCCATGCTTCTCAAAACCAATAACCAACTAATTCAATACCCGACCTGGACTGGTAACCGGATGAGACGCTGTGGTTCGGCATATGATTAAGTTGTCTTTTCGGCTTTCCTCTCCCCCGGAATAATTATGTTAATTCTATACTAAATCCCATTCTATTTTTTATAGATTCAATTCGCCTCGGTCATAACCTGTACCTGCTTTATAATGAAAGACTGGCAAAGTATGGTGAAGTTTACAGAGGCTTGCAGACTCATGAAGGTTCTCGAGGATTCGATCCAATCGCCATAAAATCTATCAAACTCAGCGATGAAAATAGGAAAGAAGTGGAAATCATCCGAAAGCTTCGTTCCCACCCAAATGTGATAACTGTCCTCCAATCTGGGACTTATTTCTTTGGTCCAATAGAACATTTATTCATCGCAATGGAATACTTTAAATCTAAAACCTTGACAGACTTTGTCAAAGACGATCCAAAGCCTAAGACTGACGAAGTCAAACATAAACAAATAGAACAATTTGTTGAAGCTGTCGATCATATCCACATTAACGAAGTTCTACATCGCGATCTTAAACCAGATAATATCTTGGTATCGGACAATGGGAGAATTCTCAAAATAATTGACTTTGGTTTGGGAAAACAGTTAAGAAAAGGACATTTTGTAACCAAAACGAGCACTTTACGTGTTGGCACTGATGGTTGGAGGGCCCCGGAAATATACCTTTCTGATATTTGTTCTAAACAATCGGACATATTTTCTTCCGCACTCGTAATCCATTTCATTTCGACCGATGGTTCCCACCCATTCGGTAATGACCCTGATAGTTGGAATCTCAATATCAAACGATATCAAGGATATGACCTGAGCAAACTAGAAGGGGATCTGGAGGATTTGGTTGGTTGGATGCTCAGATTCCGACCACAGGATCGTCCAAATACCGAACAAATTCGAAAACATAAATATTTTCATGGTCAACTTGTTTGCCCTCATTCCAAACTGAGTAAGTAGAAAGGTTCTATAGTTTTTAATGAAATATTTCTTTAATCAAAAATCTGGATAATTGGTTGAACACGGTATATTCCACCTTAGTAGAAAATTTTGAACTCAAAAACAAAGTTTATTTCAAGACTTTTTATGAAATTATCATTTAATAAAGTCTAGGTTTCATATTTTCCCCAAAGCCTAGCTTAAATCATACCTGACATATTGTGATAATACCCAAGATGTTTGCTTTATATAACATTCAGGAACATTTTTGCTTTGTTTATTCAATTAATTTTGCTCTGTGGTTTTTATTATTCTGTCTAAATGAAACCAATACTTTTAGGTTCTGTAGTACGAAGCGCTCCAGAGAAGGAAGTTGTAAAAGTCAAAGAAGAGTTTGAAGAAAGAATGAAGCAAATGGAATTAAAAAATGAACAAGAAAAGAGGGATGCGGAGAGAATGCGGAGAGAGCACGAAAAGGAAATGAAGCGGGTGCAAGAAGAAAAGAGGAAAATGAAAATTGAGATTGAAAAGCTCAAAACTGGAAAGAAAGGTTTTCTAGATTTCTAAATTGTTATTGGTAATTGCCGGCTTATGCAGAAGAGACTGCTAATTGGCTTGGTGATGTGGCTAAGCATTAGGAATACGCTCACCTTCACATCTCTGATTATCATGCATGGGTTCGCAGGATCGAATTCCTTGCGAGTTAATTATGTGCAATAAGATTGCTGGACTCCTTGTAGGGTGGTTCACGTAACCGCTGTTTGGGTACACCATCAAGTCCATGCATCTGAAAATGAATAGCTGGATGAAAACTAATCCCATACCCAACATGGACTGTTAACCGGACGAGCGGTCATGGTTTGTCATATGATTAGGTCGTCTCATTCACTTTCCTCTCCCGCATGTTGAATATATAAATCTTATTCTACCATACCATACTAGCCATATTATTCATGTTACTAATTTTCCATCAAAACCATGAAACTGCGGTTTGTCTAGTATCCCAATTCCCAGCTTGGGGTCTTTAGTTGAACATTTACTGTCATGAGTGTTTTGAAAAAGTTAGTCAATATCAATAATTTTCACTCTTTTTTTAGATTTTGCTCAGTCTTCCAATATCTCTGCAACAAACCAGCTTGCTGTTTCCACTAGTGCAAACAAGTCCATTTCTCAAAAGACTGCTGAAGTCAAGTGTCAAGGTAAATTTTGTTGAGAAATTTCTCCTGTTAATAATTATTTTCAAATTGGTCAAATATAAATCCATTTATTTTATTACAGCATACCTTTGAGGATCATATCTAAAAAACAAAAGAGTGAAAATACAACTAAACACAGTAAATGTAAATCTGAATATGAATTTGTGTATTATCATACCTTGGCTATTAAACTTCTATATCACAGGCATTTCCTGTGACTTTATGAATACCAAACAGTATTTCTGCTATACGTTTTGATTTCATCAATCCAAGTGCAGAATCTCAGTCTTCAAGTTAAAAATCAAAGCTCCAAATCGGGGTAGGCAATTACTTTCCTGGGCCGGGGTCAGCCAGTTCTAGATAATAGACTTGCTTACTGGGCCGGAGGCTCAATATAAAACTATAAATAAAAACAGTTTATTGCTGTTCGATAATAAAAAAGTGAATCCGCAACCACAATTTTTGGATTGAAAAGTGACAATGTAAAATATTAAAAAATAAAACAGAAACACCATAGGTTTTGTTTTAGGAGGCACGCAACAGATCAAAAATGCTGTTAAGACTGTATAAATCGCAAAATTGACGGCACACATTATGTTGGGTTGCCTTTGAAAATTTAATCGTTTATCAGGAAATATGAATTTCCCAGAAACATGAAGACCCTGTAATTTTCCCAACGATGATATTTTAAAAATAATCATAAGTGACAAATTCCAAGGTCGCAAAAATCTGAATCCAATTTATTTATAATCCGGTCAATAGTTTATCGCGTATTTCATGTTCGTAGATTACCGTAGTATTTTATTTTACCGTAGTAGTAGTCCCTTTATTTTACCTCACTCGACACAATGAACATAATCAAATTAATATGGGAAGACATTTTAAATGCCCGTATCAGCCACAGATTAAATATTTTGCGCAACAGCAAAATCATAATCCACTGAAAAAGTCTATTTTAAAGAGTGTCGCAATCGCAGCACTTGTTTTAGAGTCGCTGCATGGGAATTTTTGATTCCGATTTTTTGGAACCCCCATTTTAAAAAGTTCTGGATACGCCCACGTAGAAGCTGTTGTGCTGATTTGTGCCGGATGAAACACTTCTGCGGGTCGGATCCGGCCTACGGGCCGTAATTTGCCCATCACTGCTCTAAATCAAGTGCACTGTTTATTAATGCACTCCACAAAAAGGCTTTCAATATTATAGGTATATTAACCAGCCAAATACTCATATTTATCGATGACAGTGAATTTTATAATATTTTGTCTGATGCATATGACATATTCGAAGTTGTCTATGTCAGTGTTGTTTTTTACATCATAATCTCAGAAATTCGATACATTAAATTTTTTTGATACATTTCTTTACATGAAAGGATACTCTTGCAGCCATTGAAATGTAAAAAGGCACTTTATTTAAAAAAAAAAATACCCTGTAAGGCATTGCTTACCCAATTTATTACACACTTTGACATGAGGGGGAAACAGGGTTTGAACCTGAGATGTGTAATCTGTAAAGCCTACAGTTAAGTTTAGGACGTTAACCACCTGACCAGGGGTTCCCAAGCTTTTTTCAGGGCGACCCCAAAAACAACTTTCGAGTGTCCAGTGCATCCCCATTTCAATATATATATATATTTCTATGAAACGTTAAAGCAGTGGTTCTCAACCGGGGGCCAATGGCCTCTCAATGGGGCCACGAATCAGCTCAAGGGGGGCCACGACACAAGGCTAAAAATTGACCACAAAACGACTTCGTTTGAATGCTTTTCTTTTAAAATAAAATTCTCCGTTCATGCGGTATTTGCGATTGCAGGGTGTATTCACTTTCTTGTGAGTTAATTGTTGAATATAATGGAACTTGGAATCTACCAATTAAAATAGTTTGCCGGTAGGCCGTCTAACCTGTAAACGGACTGCGAGATAACCGTCGCTATCATATTATAGAGGCAAAACCCAGTTGTAAATTCCCAATGCCCAAAATACAAAAATGGCACGACAGTCACGTTGGATTTGACTTGACCAAAGTAAATCAAGATAAGAGAAAATGTGCGCAATGCTCGCGTGTAATTAGGGTGACAGCACATTTGAACCCACGTACATTTGAACCCATACATTTGCACCCGTATATCCGCGGGTTCAGTCTACATGCAGATGCTAAAAATCATGGGTTAGGGTTAGTATGGGTTCAAATATCCGTAGGTGCAATAGTATACAGGTGGAAATGTTTGCTGAATTCCATGTCGTCAAATAGTGGTTCATGTACCCACTGGTTGATTGAGCTACCTTCACCATCAAGTCCTTGCATCTGAAACAAATAACTAGCTAATTAATTCCATACCCAATCATGCACTGGTAACCGGATGAGAGGCCATGGTTCGGCGTATAAGCCACAATATTGATTTATCTTCTTTTCCGGGTAAAATAGGAAATTCTATCATAGTTTCTGATAAACGATGTTAAATAGCTCAAAACAGAGAATAGTATCATCATTTTTTGATAATTATTTATTATTCTTTCTCAGGATCACCATATGACAGTTTTGAGAATACTGGAGAAAATGTGGAGACTTTACAAGAAGTAGGAAGCCCCAGGTTAGATATAAGAGTACTTTAAATTTGTATGGTATATAATGTTCACCTATATTTCAATTGTCAAGTATAGGTGTGGCCTAGTGCAGCGGTTCCCAAACTTTATGTTCGTACGGCGCTAAATTATCAGGGAAAAAATCGCCGTACACGTACATGAAACTTGCTGCCTTTGGATAAAACTGAATTTTGTGATCGTTATTGTGGATTTTATGCTTTTTAAAGTTTGTCAATATGTGCGCCTCAAAAAAAGGGAATGCCATTAAAAACATTCACACTTATTTATCTAATGAGAGGTGTGCGGCAGTTGCTCTGAACACATCTTTTCAAAGTGAGATGTTATACTTGTTATCCACATGCATTTCCCTCTCTGTGTCCAAACGTAACCGGTATTTTGTTTTGATTGACACCAATGCTGAAAATCCAGTTTTGCAGAGATAGGAGGTTGCACTTGTGGCCATTCCAAACAGGTGCTTGAACAAAATTCAAATGAGTCATTAAAATCTGATGTCAAGTTGACAAACTGCTCAGCTTTGCTTGTTGATAAGCATATATCTTCATATACACATCATTTAAAATGAGAAATAATAAACATTTTATAATAATTACAATATGTAAAAAATTCAATCATATATCTGCTATGTTTAACACAATTCTGTTAATTTTCGCGTCGTGGAAACCTCTGGCCTAGTGGTTAAAGTGTTGAACTTATTATCTATCACAGGTTAGAAATCATTGGTTTAAAGGCCGCCCACCAGCTTACCTGGTGCACAATCTTTAACGCTGTGGATGAGAGGAGAAGGGTTTTGAAATTGAGTAATAGGGGCTGTTATTTTAACCAATGGATCAAAATTAATACATTTGCATTCTCCAATCTTATCTTCAGAAGTGAACCCTCACTGTCTGAAGAAGAAGCAGAACAACCAGATAAAGAAGTAACGGAACAACTTGCAAAGCCAACTCAGCATAGTAAGTCAGCCATATTAATAGAATCAGGTAGCGTTGGGCGGTGCTAAAATGCTTGTAATTATGAGGAAGTGCTGAACCATTGAGATGTTGGAATAATACAGGGGGTGTGCAACATTTTTTGCCAGTGGGCCATATGACCAACTTCAGACATCTAGCTAGGCCAGACAATAAATTTAGTTTTTTCATAAACATAAAGAATTGAAAAATTCCCGCAATAAAGAATCCCATTAATGTAACAGGGGGGGGGGATTTGAATTCTGACAAGGGCCGCACTTAACAGCTTGACGGAACGGTTTATGGCCCACGAGCCACCTGTTGCACACCCCTGAAATAATTGAATCTGTCCTCAACCAAATTTTCGCACAAATAGTAAGGTTTGGCAATTCAACTGCCAAACTGGACAAATATATCCCACTCCAGGTTGGAGTATCCAACTACCTGTTGGATATCAACTCCAGCTCCAAACTACAAGGAAATCGAATTTTTGATTTTAATTAATTGCCGTGGGCATGCCTTTTCAATAGCCTCCATTAGGAACGCTTGGTCCACGTCATGTTTTTGAGTTTCAGTAAAAAAATCAGGAAAGTCTAAAATTACCGTATTACCCAGATAATTTAACATTTCTATTTCTACTTCTGACCTTGAGTTTGAAAATACCACTTCAGCTCCAATTCCAATGAAAACATTTTATCCTTGCTTTCAGCATATATCGCTAACTGAGTCTTAAATTTCCTATTAGTTGCACATGAATCTTTGTATTTGGCTTTTGCTTGAAAAAGTCACTCACAGTTGTTTTATTGTAAGCCTGCTTTATTGATTCTGAAATATCTGAATTGCTACTCACTACTATTTTATATTCGATTTTGTTTTTGAATTTTGTATGAATTGCCCAGAAATAATTTTAAGTTCACAGCTTATATTGAAAATGTTAAGTATGCTAAGTCGAAATATTTATTTATAGCTTTGCCACAAATTGAAAATGTTTCGTCTCAAGAAGTGGATTCGACATTCTTTTGACTTGGAATGAAGTACTTGACAGAAGCGTTCTATACAACATAGAAATCTTCTGTGATGATGTGAAACTTGGAGAGACTCACATTACAGAGGTTCCTCAGTATAGAATGAAGTCACCTACACTTGATAAAAAATATCGTTTTCAAGTCTGGGCCAAAGATGAATTGGGAAACTCTGGCATCAAAACACAGTCAAAGAATGTTATCAAATGTAAGTTATGGCCATTAATTATTAAGTGAAGTAGAAGCCTTATAATTCAACTTGTTTGTTGTTCTAATAAATAGTCGGTGAGTGTATCTGCATGGTGGCGCCCCATCATCATTGTTATAAAAATATCAAGCATTTTCATTCTGAAATTCACTTATTGGTGCAATTTGGGTTAGACAATGTTGTTCCAATAACATATTGATCGGTCTTCACTCTTCTGTGGGCCTT